TGCCACTCCCTCCCTCCCTCCCTCCCTCCGCCCCACAGATTTTCACTACCCAGCTCGCCCGCACAACCGCGTCTGCGACCATTACAGGCTGAGTGTCAAGGCGGGGGAGACGGTGGCGCTCTGTGGACCGAGCGGCTCAGGCAAAAGCACTGCCATCTCCCTCCTCCTTCGGTTCTTCGACCCGGTCGCCGGCTCCATCACCTTGGACGGGCACGACCTCCGCTCTCTGAACCTGAAATTCCTCCGCGACTGCATCGGCTACGTGGGCCAAGAGCCTGGTGGGTACTCCTCTGAGGTCTTTTTGCTGACGGTGGACGGATTCCGATGACATGGGCCGTCCTGGGCCTCCCCCCGCTGCTCCCTTGTGTGTTTTATCGTCCGATGCAACCTCCACAAGGTGGTGGGCATGCCTTCGCCCTCCTTCTCAACCCTATCTCGACCTCGTTCTCTTTCTCCCCCTCTCTCCCTCCCTCCCTCCCTCCCTCCCTCCCTTACTCCCTCCCTATCTCCTCCAGTTCTCTTCTCGGGCAGCATCGCCGACAACATTCGAAAGGGCAAACCGGGGGCCTCAGACGAGGAAGTGGTGGCGGCGGCCAAGGCCGCCAATGCCTACGACTTTTGCATCGAGTTCCCCGACGGGATGCAGACGGAAGGTGCGTCGACGACGACGGAAGGGAGGGGAGGAGGGGTGTTGGGTCGTCGAGGGGGAAGAAATGAGTCTTTGGATATGAATTCTCTCGTGTCTGCGACCGCGGTGGTGTGGGAAAGGCGGTGGGAGACAGAGAGGAGAGGGATTGACGTGTTCCCCATCGTTGTGTCTGACTCCCCCCCTCCTCTCTGCTCCATACCCTCTTCCTCCCCTCCCTCCCTCCATCCCTCCCTCCCTCAGTCGGGCAACGCGGAAGCCAGCTCTCCGGGGGGCAAAAGCAGCGGATCGCCATCGCCCGCGCCATCATCAAGAATCCGGCCATCCTCCTCCTTGACGAGGCCACCTCCGCGCTCGACTCCCACTCAGAGAAGATCGTGCAAGAGGTAAGGGGAGAGGGAAGGAGGCATGGCACCATAGATTCCAAGGTCTTGGAGGGGAACTTTGTGGACCAGGGGAACTCACATGCCTCGACAAAGGCACATCGATGACGTCTCCAGCAGAAGCGTTTTTCCTCCTCAGCTGCCTGGGCTCAGCGCACGGAATGCGCGGCTCGGATCTGACCTTCGCGCTAACCGTCTCATTCTCTTCCGCCCTGTCCGCCTAGGCCCTCGACAATTTGGCGCGAAGCAAGAAGCGCACCACCTTCGTGGTCGCCCACCGACTTTCCACCATCCGAGAGGCGGACAAGATCGCCGTCATTGACAAAGGGCAGGTCAAGGAGCTGGGCTCGCACGAGGAGCTGATGGCCCGCCAGGGGATCTACGCCGAGCTGGTCGCCTTGCAGGGAGGGTCGGGCCGAGAGGAGGCAGTGGAAGGCGCGGGCAAGGTCCAGGCGGAGGGCGGGGCGGAGGGCGGGGACGAGGTCTCGCGGGTGAAATCTGTTTCCGTCAGCCGGCTTCCTTTGGGGGCGAGCATGCGTCGCCTTTCCCGCGCTGTCAGCCAGGTCCTGCGGGAGAGTTTGCCTTTCCAGGACGGGGTAGAGGAAGGAACGGAGGGCGCGGCCGAGGGCCGCCCCTCCCTGTGGGGCTTGTCCTTCCGGCATTGGCCGTACCTGCTCGTGGGCTTGCTGAGCAACTGCGCCCTGGGGGTGCTCTTTCCCTTTTGGGGCTACCTGTTGGCGAACGTGATGAGCGTCTTCTATTCCACGGACCGAGACTACATCTTGGAACGGGGCAGCTTTTGGGCGGGCATGTTCGTGGTGCTCGGTTCTGCGGCCATTTTGTTCTATACCTTGGCCTTCTGGGGCTTGGGCAATGTG